TAAAGGAGAAACAGCTAAATCCACATTTAGAAGGGACCTCGACACGCTCCCTTCTCTGAACAATTGGTAGAACAACTAGAGAGAAAGTCAGCAAGTATGCAGACCTCACCAACACCACCAACTGACGTATTCTAATGAACATTTCTTGAACACTGCACCAAACAGCAGCAGATTACACATTCTTTTAAAGTGTTCACAGCTCGGCCAGTATGGCTCAGTGGTTGAGCATTGACCCATGAACCAAGAGGTCCTCCGTTTGAGTCCCAGTCAGGGCACATGCCCAGGTTGGGGGCTCGATCGCCACCGGGGGCGTGCAGGAGGCAACTGATCAAAGTTTCTCTCTCATCCATGTTTCTAGCTCTCTATCCCTCTCCCTTCTCTCTGAAATCAATAAAAGAACATTTAAAAAGTAAATAAAGTATTCGCAGTACATATACGAAGATGAACCATATACTGAGCCATTAAAAAAAAATTTAAGAGAATTGAAATCAAACAGAGTGTATTTTCAAACTAGAAACCAGTTTGAAATAAAAAATATAACATACTTAAAAAAATAACCCAAGGGTCAAAGAGGAAATCTTGAGGGAAATAAAAAATACATTAATTAAATGTAAACTCAGAACATATCAAACTTTGTGGTATATAGATAAAGTCATACTGAGCGGGAAATTTTTATGGCACTAAATACATACACTAGCAAAGAGGAAATATTGCAAATCAACTATCTAAGCTCCCACCTAGAAAACATAGATAAAGAAAAACAAAAGAAACTCAAAGCAAGCAGAAGGAAGGAAATAATAAAGATAGGAGCAGAAATCAATGAAATTAAAAACATTAAAACAAGAGGAACAATGAAACAAAGAACTGATTCTTTAAAGAAAATTAATAAAATTGACAAACCTCTAGCAAGACTGACAGAGAGAGAGAGAAAAATTAGCAACATCAGGAATAACAAAAAGGACAGCTACAGACCATGTAAACATCAAGAGAATAATAAGTGAATACTACAAACAGCTCTATTTTATTTTTTTTTAGTTTGGTGATGACTTTTTAAAAATTTCTTTAAATGAATCTTTATTGTTGTTGACTAGAGGCCCACTGCATCATGCACTCGGTGTAGGGGTCCCTCAGCTCGGCCTGCACCCTCTCAGTTCGGGACCCCTCGGGGGATGTCCACCTGCTAGTTTAGGCCCACTCTCCAGGGGATCGGACCTAAGCTGGAGTCAGACATCCCTCTGGCAGCCCAGGAGCCCTTGGGGGATGTCCCACTGACAGTGGGCCTAAGCCACAATCAGACATCCTTAGCGCTGCAGAGGAAGCTGGAGAGGCTCCCGCCATGGCCGCTGCACTTGTAGCCCTCAGCCCGGCTTGTGGCTGAGCAGAGCTCCCCCTATGGGAGTGCAGTGACCACCAGGGGGCAGCTCCTGCATTGAGCATCTGACCCCTGGTGGTCAGTGTGCGTCATAGCGACCGGTCTTTCCCGGTCATTCCACCATTACAGTCAATTTGCATATTACCCTTTTATTATATAGGACTAGAGGCTCAGTGCACAAAAATTTGTGCACTCGGCAGGGGAGGGGGTTTCCTCAGCCCGGCCTGTGCCCTCTCGCAGTCTGGAACTCCTCAGGGGATGACCACCTGCTAGCTTAGGCCCGCTCCCCAGGGGATTGGGCCTAAGATGGCAATCAGACATCCCTCTGGCAGCCCAGCAGCCCTCGAGGGATGTCCACTTGCCAGCGGGGAGCAGGCCTAAACTGCAGTCGGACATCCTTAGTGCTGCTGAGGAGGCAGGAGAGGCTCCCACCACCACCGCTGTACTGGCAGCCATCAGCCTGGCTTGTGACTGAGCAGAGCTCCTCCCATGTGAGAGCGCTCTGACCACCAGAGGGCAGCTCCTGCATTGAGCGTCTGCCCCCTGGTGGTCAGTGTGTGTCATAGTGACCAGTCATTCCCAGTCCTGCTGTTAGGGTCAGTTTGCATATTACCCTTTTACTATATAGGATAGAGGCCTGGTTCACGGATGGGGGCCGGCTGGTTTGCCCTGAAGGGTGTCCCGGATCAGGGTGGGGGGTCCTGCTTGGGTGCCTGGCCAGCCTGAATGAGGGGATGATGGCTGTTTGCAGCTGGTCACACACCCTTCAGGGTGGGGGTCCCCACTGGGGTGCCTGGCCAGTCTAGGTGAGGGGCTGAGGGCCATTTTCAGGCTGGCAGGTGACTGAAACTCCCAACCTCTCCTTTTTTTCTTTTTCTTTTTTTATTCTGGGATTTATTTATCTTCTATGGCTGTCACTGGAGCTGAGAGCCGGCTTTAGCTCTGATGCTCGGCTCCAGCTCTGAGACCTCGGTTTGTTTGGCTTCTATAATTGAAACACTGTTGCAATTCCAGCTCTGAGGCCTGGCTGGCTGAAAGCAGGTATCTGGGGTTTGTTTAGCTTCTATAATTGCAACATTGTTTCTTAGACTGCAGCTCAGAGGCCGGCAGCGGCAGGTGGGGAACCTTGGCTTCCTCCATCACTGGAGCAAGCAAGCCTCCTGTTCGCTTCAGCTGCCTGGCTGTTGGCTGCCATCTTGGTTGGCATTTAATTTGCATATCGCCCTGATTAGCCAATGGGAAGCGTGTCGGAGGTATGGTTAATTACCATGTTTGTCTATTATTAGATAGGATAGTATTATAGATGTCGCCTCTGTTTTTGTTTTTTCCCCATTGATACCTTCCACCCTGTACCCGCCCCTCCCAGACCTTCGCCTGACAGTTGTCTGTGTCCCTGGGCTATGCATATCTATATATATAAAAGGCTAAGTGACCGACTGTACAGCCGTCTGACTGACTGACCAGCTGGTACATACGATGTGCACTGGCAATTTCAAAATAAACACTGACTCGTGCATGCATGATACATATAGGCTATGTGACCAACCATATACACGTCCAACCATCCAACCAACTGATTGGCCGGTACATATGATGCACACTGGCAATTTAAAAATAAATGTTGACTTGTGCATGTGCAATACATATAAAGCTCTTACTGGTGCCAATTGCAAATATACAGAGAGATATTAGAATAAGTTTAATCAATTTATCAGTCATTGTTTTTATCAATGTTTTTATATCATGTTTTTGTTTTTATATCATGTATTTGTTGTTGTTATATCGTGTTGTTATTGTTTATTTATTAATCAATTTATATATTATTTTCATATACATTTTACTAATTTTCTTTCATCTCTGACACTACTATTATAGAGAAAGGGTGAATAGCGATATTAAAATATTTCTTCTAATTAATTTCCTTTCAATGTGCACAAATCCATGCACTGGGCCACTAGTATGCCTATAAATCTCTCCCTCGCATCTCCCCACCCCGCTTTTCCTCTGAAATTCATCAGTCTGTTTCATACTTTATACACATAAACTTGACAATTTAGACATAATGAACCAATTCCTTGAAAAACACAAACTACTGCACCTCATCCAATATGAAATGATTTGGATAGCCCTATAATTGTTAAGAAAATTAAATATATAATTTTAAAACTCCAGAGAAAGAAATCTCTAGGCCCAGATGATTTCACGAAGAATTCTACCAAATGTTTTAAAGAAGAATGAAAACAATCAACACAATCTCTTCCAGAAAATAGAAGACAAATACTTCCTAATTCAATTTATGAAGGTAGTATTACCCTATACCAGAACTAAAGAACCACACAAAAAGAAAACTACAAAACAATATCTCTCATAAACTTAGATCCTCAACAAAATTTAGCAAATCAAATACAACAGTGTATAAAAAGAATTATATACCATAACCAAGTGGGATTTATCCAATTCTACTATGCAAGGCTAGTCAACATTTAAAAATTAATTAATGTAATCTACCACATTAACAGGCTAAAGAAAAAAAATCACATGATCGTATCAACGACTGCAAAAAAACAACAACCCACGTTTTTGACAAGATTCAATACCCTTCATGATAAAAACTCTCAGGAAAACAGGAATAGAGGGAAACTTCTTCAACTTGATAAAACTCATCTACAAAAACCTACAACATTACACCTAACAGTGAAAGACTGAAAGCTCTCCTCCTAAGATTGGAAAAAGACCAGGATGTCTGCTCTTACTGTTATTCCACACAGCTTTGGAAGTTCTATTCAGTGTAATAACACAAAACAAGGGAATTAAATGCATACCTATCAGAAAGGAAGAAAACAGAATTATCTCTCTTTGCAGAAGACAAGATGGCCTGTGTAGAAAATTCTAAGGAATCAGCAAAAACACTCCCAGAACTAGGAAATGAATTTAACAAGGTACATTATAGGATGCAAGATGAATATGCAAATATCAGTTCCATTTCTATATATTTGCAATGAACATATGGAACAGAAATTAAAAATGCAATACCATTTACAATCACTCAAAAAGAACCCTGACCTCTTGGTTCCTGCGTCGAGGCTCAACCACTGAGAACACCCGCTGGGCCCCTGCTGAGATTGTTTAGCTTCTCCCTGGGCCTAATTCTGCTTCTATGCCGCTCTTCACAGGCGTGGTCTTGAAAGTATCTCTCCCCCGCCACACACACACCCCGCACCCAAAAACACCTCCTGTACATTAATCTCCTTTTGAGACTCTTTCTCGGGAATGACACATTACCCTACTTGTTTTTCTTTCATGCTTTAATGCTTGCTTATTGTCTGCTGTAAAAATGTAAGCTTCCCAAGACGACCTTTTCTTTTCTCCTCGTACACTGTGCACCACTGTATCCAGCGCCTACTGCACACGCGGGCCCTAAATACAGGTTTCTGGAATGAATGAATGAATGAATGAATGAATGAATGAATGAATGAATGAATGAATGGAAGAGACACACCTCATTGGGTCTTGGGATCACAGCCTCCCAAGAGCCTGTTACAAGCACTTTGGAGCTGCAGCTCAACTTGCTCCCTAGGCCCCGCCCCTCCCGGCACGCCCCCCAACCCAGGCAGGAGGCGGGGCCGCGCGGGCGCCGGCGGGCACCATGCTACTCCCCGCAGTGAGGCTGGTGCGCCTGGGTCGGGTGCCGTATTCCGAGCTCCTGGCGCTGCAGGAGCGCTGGCTGCGGCGGCTGCAGGCGGAGCCAGGCACCGAGGACCCGCCGAGGACGGAGGCGGGTGCGCTCCTGCTCTGCGAGCCTGCGGGGCCCGTGTACACGGCCGGGCTGCGCGGCGGCCTGACGCCCGAGGAGGCGGCGCGCCTGCGAGCCTTGGGCGCCGAGGTGCACACTACAGGCCGCGGCGGCCTGGCCACCTTCCACGGGCCGGGCCAGCTGCTCTGCCACCCGGTGCTCGACCTGCGGCGCCTGCGCCTGCGCCTGCGCACCCACGTGGCGGCGCTGGAGGCGTGCGCCGTGCGCCTGTGCGGGCTCCAGGGCCTGCGGGGCGCCCGCGCGCGGCCGCCGCCCTACACCGGCGTCTGGCTCGGGGAGCGCAAGATCTGCGCGATCGGTGAGCGTCGCGGGGCCGGGCCTGGCGGGGCCAGTGGAGGCGTATGTGGCGCTGGCTTTGAATCAGAACTACCCCCGTGGCTGGAGTTTTTCAGCCTCTTCACTGATGTATTGTATTCAGAGCCAGAAGGGCCCTTAGAAGTCACCTTGTACAGCTTTCCAAATGGAGAGACACGAGCAGTGAATTGCCAGGTTACTTCACTGTGTCAGGACAATAAGGGCACTTAAGTAGTTCTCACGCTTTTTTTTTAAAGCAACAATCTCTGTGTTGAAGACATTTCCTGTAATCGCCATAGTAAGTGCAGCATACACTTCCCGCACTTCGTACCCCTCTCCGATCTGTGCGCAACCCCTTGGGTGCTCCAGGCACAGTTGGAAAATCAGTGATCCGGCCCAGCTACCTAAACACACTGAGTGGGATCCTGACGCCCGGGGAGGGAGTGTGTCGCCTCTAACACCCTTTGGCTTTCTTGCAGGAGTGCGCTGTGGAAGGCACATCACATCCCATGGCCTGGCCCTGAACTGTTGCACAGATCTCACGTGGTTTGAGCACATTGTGCCCTGCGGGCTGGTTGGGACAGGCGTCACTTCCCTGAGTCAGGAGCTCCAGAGGCACCTCACCGTGGATGAAGTTACACCGCCTTTCCTGGAGGCCTTTAAGGAGACCTACAAGTGCACCTTGATCTCAGAGGACAGTTCTAACTGAAAGGCAGTCATGTCAACAGCCAGGAGGTCCTACCTTGGAAAGCACCAGGCCTCACTTGGCGTCACTGAAACCCAGATTCTGGATTTGGTCCTGTCATTCACTCACCACGAGACTGTGGGCACATCAGGAGCTCTGGCCATTGTTTCCATATGTAACCTGGTTTATTTATATCTTCCCCACCTACCTCAGATATAGAAGTGAAAACTTGAAAAGTAACACATGCTTATTCAATACAATGTATTAGCCCAGCCTGCGTGGCTCAGTGATTGAGGGTCGACCTATGAACCAGGAGGTGATGGTTCGATTCCTGGCCAGGGCATATGCCCAGGTTGCCGGCTCCATCCCCAGTGTGGGGCATGCGGGAGACAGCTGATCAATGATTCTCATCATTGATGTTTCTATCTCTCTCCCTCTTCATTCCTCTCTGAAATAAAAATATATTTAAAAAATAAATACAGTGCATTAGCACTACTATTAATACCACTTTCTAAGCTTACAGCGTCATTTCTCAATTATTACTTCCTCAGTACTGTATTTAATTGGGCAATTTTGGGCTTCCAGTTCCTTTGATTTTGTAGGAGTCATCTCTCTGGTTGACCCAGGAGGTGATGTGATGTGGTGTTTTCTGCAATAAAGGGAAGTCTCTAAAGCAGCGGTTCTCAACCTGTGGGTCGCAACCCCTTTGGGGGTCAAACAACCCTTTCACAGGGGTCGCCTAAATACACTCTGCATATCAGATATTTACATTACGATTCATAACAGTAGCAAAATTACAGTTATGAAGTAGCAACGAAAATAATTTTATGGTTGGGGGTCACCACAACATGAGGAACTATATTAAAGGGTCGTGGTATTAGGAAGGTTGAGAACCACTGCCCTAAAGAATACGATCCTGTCTTCCTGGGTTAGACTCCCCAAGCCTGATAGCTACTTTTAGTTAGGTAACCTAAACTAGGCCAAAGCCTGGGGGAAGGTAAGAGCATTTCCCAAAGATAGAAGATTGTCTATATGAGATCTCTTAAGAATACAGAGCTGTGTATTAGTTATTTATTGCTGCATAACAAATCACTCCAAAACATAAACTTAAATCCTTAAACATTTATTATCTCATATATAGTCTATGGGTCAGGAATTTGGGGGAAACTTAGCTGGGTGATTCTGGATCAAGGTCTCCCATGAGTTGTAGTTAAGATGTCATCTGGGGCCGCTGTCATCTGAAGGCTTGACGGGCGAGGATCAGCTTCCAAGATGGTTCACTCACATGCTTGGTTGTTGAGAGGAAGCCTCAGTTATTCACCATGTGGGCCACTCCATACGGCCACTTAAATATCCTCATGACCCAACAACAACTGGCTTCTCCCAGGAATTACACGGTAGCTACTAAGGTAATTCACCAAATATTTCAGGTACGCGGCAGGATTGTGCTTTGTGGCCCCCTTGTGGCCAGGTAACTTGTTCTGGTCAATGAGTTAGGAATGGAGGTGACATGTCACCTCTGAACTGGAACAGTGAATTGCTGGTATCAGACCCCTTATAGTTTCTCTCTGAAACAGTGACCAGCAACATTCAAGATGGTGGCTACTTTTTGAGGGACTGCAATGAGCAGAGCCACATGCAGCTGACGGATATGTAGTGGAATTAAGCCACCGAAATGTGGGGGTTGTTCATCACCACAGCATAACCTAGCCTATTCTGATTGACAATGTTTAGATTAGTTAGGACTCTCGCATTTGCACGTGTAGAAACCCAACTCCAACTAACTTAAGCAAAGACTCAAGAACAGAATTAGAGCATGTAGCCTTTTATGAACCCTGATCATCTTTTCTCTCCTAATCGCTGCCAGGCTTCTTGGTGTGTTTGCTTCATTTTTTCTTGCTTCCATTGGTTTGCTGTTTCCCAGGCCACCTGGTGGAAGATGGGTGCTGCTGCTGTTACCCATTGAGTGCTGGCGTAGAGACAAGGAATATCCCTAGGTTGCTGGCTTGAACAATTGGGTGGATGCTAGAAGCATTGCTGGGATGGAGAACACTGGATGAGGACCAAGTTTGGAGAGGAAGAGAGTTCAAGTTGAGATAAGTTTGAGATGCCTGTGGGAGTTACCAGTGGAGAGGGTCAGTTGGGTGTGTGTGGATCTGGAGCATGGGTGCATGTGATGATGGGTTAGGTCTGGGAGCCCAAGGAGAGAGGAGGGCAGAGGACTGATAAATGTGATGCTCAGGCTGAGGAGCAGGCCAAGGAGACTGAGAAGCAGTAGGCAGAAAAATAATGTGGGGCCTGGAAGGAAACAACATGACAATCTCAGATACTCTCTGGCAGCATGGTGAGATAGGTAGGATTATTTTATGGATGAGATAACTGGGGCTCAGGGAGGCTCAGTGACTTGTATGAGGTCATGCACTTCGGGGCAGAGTCAATCCCTGACCCCCAATCTGGGTCTCTCCACTCTCCCACAGCTGCCTCTGAAGGGTGAGCGGGGCAGGCATCCTGGAAGAGACATGCCTCCAAGAACAGGTGGACCCTGGGTTGGCAGGGCTGGGAGGATGCAGAGCAGAAGGCCGGAGTTTGGCTGACTCTTCTTCCTGCCTGGATAGAGCCCCCTCCGGTTTCCCACGGGGGCCCTTGCTCAAGGAAGGAAGCTGAGCGGATGAAGGAGGATATTTAACACTCTGGCTTTCCCGCCTCCAGAAAGCCTCTTGTTTGTGCAGAGCCTTGTCTCCATAAATAGACAGATTGTCCAGGGTCAGGTGAACCAGGGCTGAGTGTGAGGACGTAACCAACTGCAGTGACTGATCCAGTATCTTGTTCCTCTGGTGAGGCTAGCAGGAAACCAAACAGAACCAGCTCTGGCAGTGTGACCAGGTGCACCTCGCTTCGTGGGAAAAGCCTCTCTCTGAAAACCCTAAGGAAATTAGATTTTTGTGATCTAAATCTGGTTTTCTTTTTACTACATTGTAATTTACCACATGTACTAACATACCCTATTATAACATCTATAAAGTTTTTTTACAAAACAGCATTTGCACTCCCAACTAACAATATATCCCTTTCATTTGTGTGTGTTTCTAGTTGTTGATCATGAACAGACATATTTTATGTATATTTAATTATCATATGGGTAAAATTTTGTATATTCTTTAAAGCATACATATCTTCCCATATAGTCTTTATATTTTTAATATGTTAATTTTTTATTCCTTTTAAAATTTAGATTGTGTGTTTTTTAATATAGGTAATGCATGTACATGGAATAAAATTAAGAAGATCCAAAATGGTAGCATTGAAATGTAAGTCCTGTTCCTATCCCTTTCCCCTGTAAACCTACTTCCCTTTCCTGGAGGCCTAAATGATAGTAAATGTCTTTTCCATATACTTTAGAGATAGTTTATGCATAAATAAGCATACATGAATATATATCATGAATATATATATATATATATATATATATATATATGAATATATATCATGAATATATATATATATACTAGGGGCCCAGTGCACGAAATTCGTGCACTGGGTGGGGGTGGGGGGAGTGTCCCTCAGCCCAGCCTGCCCCCTCTCACCTACTGGGAGTCCTCAGGCGTCGACCCCCATCACCCTCCGATCACCTGATCAACCCCTTGCCCAGGCCTGATGCCTCCCCCCATCACTGGCTCTGACCCCCGCCCAGGCCTGATGCCTCTGGCCCAGGAATCATGCCTGGGCAGGGGACCCCCATCTCCCTCTGATCACTTGCTCCACCCCCCCGCCCAAGCCTGACGCCTCTGACCCAGGCTTCAGGCCTGGGCAGGGGGACCATCATATCCCCCCAATCCCCGGCTCCGCCCCCCACCCAGGCCTGATGCCTCTGGCCCAGGCATTAGGCCTGGGCAGGGGACCCCCAGCCCCCTCCGATTGCTGGCTCCGCCCCCCGCCCAGGCCTGATGCCTCGGCCAGAGGAGTTGACCCTCATCACTCTCCAATCGCCGATCACCGGATCGGCCCCTTGCCCAGGCCTGAGGCCTCTGGCAGAGGCATTAGGCCTGGGCAGGGCACCCCCAGCTTCCCGCGGTTGCAGGCTCCGCCCCTGCCCAGGCCTAACGCCTCTGGCCAAGGCATTAGGCCTGGGCAGGGGACTCCCAGCTCCCTGCGATCTCCCGCTCTGCCCCTGCCCAGGCCTAACGCCTCTGGCCGAGGCGTCCGGCCTGGGCAGCGGGGACCCGCAGCGGCAGTGGCGCCGCAATCGCTGGCTCCGCTTTAGGCCCAGGCAAGGGACCCCTAGCTCCCGGGACTGCCAGCTTTGACCATGCCCAGCTCCCATCGCTGGCTCCACCCCTACTTCCTGCTATCACTGGCCAGGGTGGCAAAGGCGCCCGATTCTCTGATCATGGCTGGGGGGCAGGGCAAAGGCGGCCCCCAGGGCCGCCTTTGCCCTGCCCCCCGACTCTTAGCTCCCCCCTGGGTTTCCGATCACTGTCAGTGGCAGGGGGCTTCTTCCTGCTTTCCCTTTCACCTCCCTGCATTGTGCCTACATATGCAAATTAGCTGCCATCTTTGTTGGCAGTTAATTTGCATATTGCCCTGATTAGCCAATGAAAAGGGTAGCGGTCGTACACCAATTACCATGTTTCTCTTTTATTAGTGTAGATATATATATATATATATATATATATATATATATATATATATTAATCCTCACTGAGGATATTTTTTTCATTGGCTTCTAGAGAAAGTGGAAGGGAGGCAAGAGGGGAAGAGAAAGATGGAAGGGAGGGAGGAAGGGGAGAGAGAGAAGCATCACCGTGAGAGAGATACATGTATTGGTTGCCTCCGGCATGTGTCCCTACTGGGGCTGGGGAACCTTCAACCCAGGAATGTGCCCTTGACCAGGACTTGAACCCATCACCCTTCAGTCCATGCTCTAACCAGCCAGGGCTATATATTCTTTTTCATATAGCAGCATACAATACACACAGCACTGCACTTTGCAGACTGTTTCCGATCAGTATGTAAAGAGCATCCTCATTTTATAAAATGACTATGGAGTATTCCATTCAGTGGATTTACCCCGACTTATTTATCTAGTACCCTACTGAGGACATTTAGGTTACTACTACTACTGTTTTCCTTTTACAAACAAGGCTGCAATGAGGATTCATATATGGATATATGTGTATGTGCATGTGTGTGTGTATTCTATGACACACGGTGAGTACAGAGATTGCATTTCTAGAAGTGATTTTCTGAGTTAAAGGATATGTGCATTTTTATTTAGATAGTGTCACATTGCCTACCATAAAAGTTATACCAATTTATACACCCATCAGCAGTCTACAGGGAAGATGCCTGGGTTTTAATATTCGCACATCTTGGTGTTGTTGTTGTTTTTTCATTTTAAAAGTTTTTTTATTATAAATGTTTTTAACTTTAATGAAACTTTATTTTTTTATTAAATTTATTGGAGTGACATTGGTCAACATGAATATGTAGAGTTCA